TTTCCCACTGCAGATCAGCAGCACCCATTTGCCATTTTCTAGATAGGAATATTTGCATATTCTTTTTATATGTTTCCTCAAGAGCTGGGATTAGAAATTTTTATTTACATGCATATCCATTTGTGATATTCATGCATGGCTAGTAAAAAAGTGAGTGATGTGTCTTTGTAGGGTCAAAGAAAGATACGAAAGAAACAAAAAGAATGACACATTAGATTAAGCCAGAAATTCATTCATTCTAGCAGTGTGTGGGATAGAGTATACCAAATATATGTGGAAATATGATGTAGGTGTTTGTCATCTCACTGTGCTTTCTGATTAAAGGTAGTTTATAAACCGCCTTGACTCCTCTTTAAAAATACATTAAGGTCTGCATGTCACACATTTTCTTGAACTTTCTTTGGATATTTTCATATTTTTAGTCCCCTGTATACACTGCTTAGATTCATTATGACATCTAAAGTAGTCTTTGGTTCATGGTGAGTAATCAATAAATATTCATCTAAATATCATCTGGTTACCCAACACGGCATTAAGAGACATTGATTGCTAGGGTAACAAACTATGGGGATTATGTCCGAGGCAAAAAGAAGTGGGTCCTTTTATCCTACAGGTTTTTTTTTTTTTTTTTGGAAGATTTATTTATTTATTTATATTTGAGAGAGAGAGAGAGAGAGAGAGGACGAGTGGGGAAGGGACAAAGGGAGAGGTACAGAGAAAGAATCTCCAGCTGACCCCTGCCTGAGCAGAGAGCCTAATGAGGGGCTTCTGGGGCTCCACCCCACGACCCTGAGGTCATGACCTGAGCCGAAATCAAAAGTTGGTTGCTTAACCAATTGAGCCATCCAGGTGCCCCTTATCCTATAGTTTTGCCTTTTAAACTTCTGTGGATGTTTAGAATTACAGAATTTCTTAAGTCAACAATGTAACATTTAACCTAAACCTACTTATTATGTCAGATGATAAAACATAGAAATTAGAAACTTAGTATTTGTTCTTGCTTGGCACTTTCTTTTCGACCCAACAGTTTGTTTATTAAGCAGATAAATTCTGGTTTCATTCTAGAATTTTTTTGTACATCAAAGAGCTATTAAAAGAGCTCAGAGCTTTGGTAATAAAATTTAAATGTAAGTGCAATCCACATTTCAGAAAAGCCCAAACATTTAACTATATGAATGAAGAATGAAAGCTGCATTTATAAAACCAAAATGATTTCTTGGGAAGAAAAATGGTCAACTGTGAAACAATGACAGTTTTTCTTGTCAGTAGTTGGTTCATAAACCTAGTTATTAAATCTAAGTTGCATCTCTATTAATAGTCTATTTAGCCAAGTATCTTTGTAGAAAATTATAATACTACTAATTATGAACATAATAGCAACTTTTAGGTATAGTTAGTTCTTTTTAAGCCATTTCATTTGTCAAACCTCTTCCTTTATTTTTTGAAAACTTTTTCATTAGTAGTGTTTCATGGCTAATTTGACATGAAATTTGTTTTTAAACTCTAATGGTATTGAAATTATAGTTTATTTTTTAGTCAGGATTGAGCCCTATACTTGACAAGAGAAGAATTATTGTTGCCTAGGAATTTAATTGAAACTTTTCATTAAGCTCACTCCAAGTACATAGTTTGGCTTTTCACTTGTCTATTTCTGTAAATTTTTAGTCCCTTGATATTGATAAAGAATTTGCCCCTGCCAACATATATCTTGGAGATAGATTGATCTGCATTTCAATCCCAGCCCTATCTCATAATAGTTGTGTGACCTTTAGTGATATTATCCTTTTGAATCTGTTTGTTCATTTGTGCTAATAATCTTGACTGTGGAGGATTTTTGAGGAGAAATAAAGATTATATATATAATACTTATAATAATTATATTATAATTATATATTTTATTTTATAATTACATTTTATACATTTATATATAAAATTTACATATTTATATATGATATATATTTTGTATATTTATTTTAATTCTATAATTATATTAATTATAATAATATAGTAATTATATGTTATATGTTTCTATAATATATATGTAAAAGGGGCATTTTTGTGTGTGTGTGTTTGCTTGTAACTTGTGAATATGATGCTGGCATTCTTCTGGAGATATAATTACGTGATAATACTAGGAAAACTCTGAGTAAGAAGACTTAGGAGACTAAACCTTTAGGATATTAAAACACATTATAGGGAATAACCTCTGGAATAATGGTATAAGGAGCTTGGTGAACTCTCTACCTAGAAAAACAATAATTTCACTGATGAAAAGTTAAAAAAAACCAACAATCATATAAAGCTCTGAAAATTGTCCTAAGGGCAAAGGAGAAAGTATGGTTTAAGAAAATCTACTAATCATCAAAATTAAAAACCTTGGTCCTTTAAAGGACAGCATGAGAAAAATAAAAAGACAACTCATAGAATGAGAGAAAATATTTGCAGATCATATATCTGACAAAGGAATTTTATCCAAGATCTATAAAGACCTCTTATAATTTAATAATAAAATCCACTTGAAAAATGGACACAAAATCTGAACAGAGACTTCTCCAAAATGTGTAAGTGGCCAATAAACACATTAAAAGATGCTTAGTATCAACAGTCATTGGAGAAATGTAAATCAAAACCATGATACTCAAAAAAATTTAAAAACCAAAATGACATGTTATGTATGTCACACATACTTGGATGCTTATAATTAAAAACCAGGTAGTAACAATTTGTTATTAGTGGGGATGTGAAAAAATTGGAATTATCAGACACTTGAGAATGTATAATGATGCCCCCCACTTTGGAAAACAGTTTAGAAGTTTGTCAAGGAATATTATTCAGGCATAAAGAGAAACGAAGTACTAACCAGTGGTTCATTATGGATGAACCCTGAAAACATCAAGCTAAGTGAAAGAAGCCGGGCACATAAAGCCACATAGTGTGTGATTCCATTTATATGAAATGCCCAGAGAAGGCAAATCTGGAGAGCTAGAAAGCACGTTAGGGTTGCTGAGGGCTGAAGAGGCTGGATGGGGAGTGGTTGCTGATGGGTGTGGGGTTTCTTGTTGGGGTGATGAGGGTGTTCTAAAATTGATTGTGATGTTGGTTGTACAACTTGAATCTATTTAAAAAAAAGGAATCATCTATTTTCAGTGGTTGAATTAGATAATATGTAAATTATATCTCAAGCTAGTAAAAAGAAGAAAATTGATCAATTTTCAGTAAGAGCTGTGAGAATCTGTAGCATTTGAATGGTGGTCTGTTCCATAATCCCCTTTGCCACCCTGCTTCGTCTTATAGAAGCTGTATCCAGGCACTGTAGACAAGAAGATGGGCACTTCCTCTCTCCTTGGCTCTTAGCTGGGGGTTATGATTTCTCCCGGGGAGAGGCAAACAGCTGTACTGTCTCATCCCTCCGAGCCCTGTGTTGTAGCAGTTCTCTTCCAGGCAGGCATGGGTGAGGGGACCAGATCGCTCTTCCCCTACCTACACCGCACTTGTAATGCAGTCTTGGCAGGCCAAGAAAATTGGGGCCAACTGCACTCTTCTTTAACGTCATTCTTCTTTCCAGTTACTTCCCTTCACCTCTCCTTCCCTTCTTACCAGGGAATGGTTGTCTCAACTTCCTGTTTCCACTGACTTCTCTCTTGCTCAATTAGGAACAAAAAAAGTTGCTACTTCTTCAACCTATTCCAGTCTGAGTTATAGCAGATTTCATCAAGGTCACCAATGACCTCTAAGTCCATTGAACACTTCTTAGTCTCCATTTTGCTTGAATATTCTGTGACATTGGACATAATTGACACTTCTGTCCTTCAAATGGTCTCGGTTTCCATGACGCTATACTTTCCTGTTTTTCTTCTTCTTTTTTCAGTCTGCTTTGCTGGTTTTTTCTTTTCTTTTTTTTTTAAGTGTTCAGTTGGTTGACCATATAGTACATCATTAGTTTTTGATGTAAGGTTAAATGATTCATTAGTTGTTCTCTGGAGTTCCTTAAGGCCTTGTCCTAGGCTCTTTCTCCTCAGCCAAATGCTTGCCAGGCAAACCTCAGGTAGTATCTGTAGGTGATTCCCAAACCCATTCCTGACTTCTCTTCTGAGCTTTATACCATTATACCTAGCTGCCTCCCCTATTTTTCTATTTTATTTGTTGTTTATTAATTCAAATATATTTATTTAAGGCCTGTTATTTTCCAGGCATTATGCTGGTACTGAGAGTGTCTTCAAGGTATTTCCAATGGAATGTGATTGAAACAGAATTCATGATTTGTACTCTCTGCCAAAAAAAAGCAAGCAAGTAAATAAACAAAAATACCCCAAATAAGACCTTCTCTACTACCATTGTTCTCACTGTACTACTGAAATCTGCCAGTTCTTTTAGCCTGAAACTTGGGATCACTCTTGACTCTTCTTTTTATCTGAGCATGGACCCAAATGTCCATCCAATCTGATCCAATTAAATCGAATCTAATTTAATGCAATCAGTGTAGTCTACCCCAATTCAGTATCACCAAGGGCCTGGCCATTCCATTTTCTAGGTATTCTGCCCCCCACCCCTTTTCCTTTTCACAGCCAAGACCCTAGCCTATGCTACTGTTACTTCTTGAGTCAACCGCTGTGGGCACCATCCGGCAGTTTGCCACATGACTGCGACTTTGATCTTTTAAAGTATTTCCTAATTCCTCTCTGTCTCGGTTTTCTTATCTGTAAAGTTGGGATAATAATAGCCCTTTCCTCTTGGATTGCCATGAGGATAAAAAGGATTATTATATATAAATTAGTGCCAGGCACCAAGACCTCAGTAAATTGTTATTGAGACCTTATACAGAATTACATTAAACCAAGGAAAAGGTATGATTAAGACAGAAAGAGGTTTATTAATAATAGATTTGAATGGGGGTAATTATTAGCTTGCTTATACTTAGCAATGCTGTATATATTCACACAAATCTGCAGCTCTTATAATACATGACCTTATTATGTGTATATTGTTTTCTTAATTAAAAGGCTAAGAAGCACCAGGCCTTTCTAGTAGAGACATGTGAAAATAACGTGAAAGAATTGGAATCGATCTTGGACAGCTTTTCTGTGTCGGGCCAGTGGACATCAGGTTAGTTGAAGGTATAAAATGACAGATGCATCTGTCAATGTTCCAAAGTCACTACATTTTGGGAATTCTGCAGATGCCTCTTCCAGTCCCTCATCTCAACATGTTTCGATCTGATGACATGATAAGAGCAGTTCTCACAGCAGTCAGTTGGCCTAGCTGGCTGAGAAAGGGTGACGGAATGTGGACCTGCTGTTGTCCTCCCAGAACTTGATTTACAAGTGTTGGGGTCTGTATGATTGGACAGACAAGGGCTCACTTGCTGTGTTCTGAATCCAACTGAGAAAAAAATCCTTACAGTATACCTGCAAGGGGAACAGATGTTTCCATCGAACTGAGCCAAATTCTGAGGCAACCTTCAACAACTTAAAGGTCATGCATTCAAAAGGTTATGTAGGACACAGCCTGTAACAGCGTGCATATGCTAAGCCAGTTTTCTCCTTCACTTCCTACTACCACACATACACTCTCCAGAGAAGAGTGCTTAGGTAAAATATTTTGGTTTTCATATTAGCACGGTTAATAAGATAAAGAACTATAAAAATTGTGTATTAGGTGGGCATATTTTGGGAACTAGAAGCAGCACTAGCTGGTTAACGAATGCTGTCCATGATTTTGACTTTCTTAATTTTTTTGTGTATATGCCATTATGTGTGTAATAGGAACTTTGACCTAAATCCTTTTACCTTGCTACCTCAATTTTCTTTTGCCAAACCATCAGCCTCGAATTACTCTTTTTTTCTGACTCAGTTGTATTCTTCAAAAGGCATGTAAAATTAAATTCATTACAATTTAAAATTGAGCTGTTGGGCTCTGTTTTTTTAAGGAATCAAACAGATTTTGGGCCAATTAGTTCTTTAGGAACTCGTAAGTTATAGAAAGTGTGTCATGCTTGAAAAAGCAGAAGGATATGACCACGGCCCATTATTACTTTATGGATCTGCGGATTTGTGCCGGTGAGCTATTAGAGATTTATTGTGTTTTATTATTATCTGGTTTTTTGGGTCTGTTTTTAGCCTTCCTACTAGTTTAGCAGTCTTTCATGAAATGAACTTGTAACTTTTCTTAAAATATAATCTTTTACCCAAAGCATTAGTGTTTTGTGGTTTGTTACTGTGGAAAAATCAAGGTGTATAACGGGGACATAAAAAATATAGATATCCAGTGTTCAATTATATTTGCTAAAGCTTTGGAGAGTAAAATTTTCTTTTGTAATTGTACTGTTTTATTATTGAGATGTGTCATTTCTTAATGGTTTTAGGAGCTTTAAAAATTATTAAATTATTATCTTAGTATAGCTTATGCTTCAATGTTATTTTAAATATTTCTTCAGAGCTGAATTCAAAAAACTAAAAATAATGCCACATCTTTTTTGAATTTTAAAATGAAATAGTTGATAACAAAGTAACTCACAGGCTATTGCTAAGCCTATTGAAGAAGACTATTAAAGTTTTTCTTTTTCTTTTCATCTTTTTAACTCCTAGTTTCCCATATATAGGCACAGCCTATATATTATAGAGAAAGGTTTCTGGAAAAGGGACTGTATGGTGAATTAGTGATTTTCGTATTGCTGTAGAGTTGTTTTGTTTCCATATGGTACTGCTTAATCACTCTTTCACCCACCAAGAACCATTCTTCCCTGATCTGTTAAATGGAAGCCCAGGACCAGAGTGAAATCAGGTCCTAAGCAGGTAAGCGTGTCAGCCAGCATGCCAGCAGGAAGAGATGGCACTCTCTAAAGAGTTAGTCAGAAGAGAATTTAATCAAGATATCTATGGAAATGTGGACAGGATAAGAGAACCAATAAGGTAAGGTAAGACAGGGGCACCTGGGTGGCTCAGTCAGTTAAGCGTCCAACTCTTAGTTTTAGTTCAGGTCATGATCTCATGGGTCTTGGGATCAAGCCCCCCGTGGGGCTCTGCACTCAGCAGGGAGTCTGCTTGAGATTTTCTCTCTCTGCCCCTCCCCCCACTCGTGGGCACATGCGTGCTTGCACGCGCGCGCTCTCTCTCTCTCTCTCTCTCAAATAAATCTTAAAAAGGAAAAAAAAAAAAGATAGGATAAGACAGCAAGAACAAGCCAGAGTGGAAACCCCATGCCTAAGCCTAAAGGGTCCAGTGGAGGGCACATTGTCACCATAGTCTGATTCAAGGCACAGGACCTGCCTGACGAGAGCTGTGGCTGCTAAAAAATGAGGAACGCATTGGAGCAGAGGAAACAGAAGAAATGAATACCCTGACATTCTCTTCTTTCCTTTTGTTTCTTTCTCCCTCCACCCTCTTGATCACCTACAGGTACACTCACTGCCCAAATCCAACCAGAAGCCAGAGGGCAGAGGAGCCCAGATGATGTAGTCTCTAGAGGTCAGCCTTCACCACAAGGTGAAACATTGTTTGTTAAAATAATATAACAAAACCTGTCACTTCTGGAAATACCTTGATGAAATTCTCTTCTGAGGAACCCTTTAGAGAGTGCCATCTCTCTTCCTGTTGGCACCTGGGCTGATCTACTTACCTGCTCAGGACCCGCTTTCCCTCTGGACCTGGGCTTCCGTGAGGCAGCCATGGGAAACTCCGATGGATTCCCTTTCTGCTTACGCTGGTTCAGGCTGGGGTTTTATTACTTCATGGAGGGCTATAAATAATAAGCTTTATTGCTTAATATGGAAGGACCTGCACAATTAGGATTGTCTGCTATGTCAGGCCTGGCTTTGTCTCCATGAAGATTAACAAATATTTTGCTCCTCACAAATAAGGTCCCATAAGAACTTACCCTAGACTAACTTGTCCTCTGTGCCTGTGTGATATAAACATGTATACAGTTCACAGTATATATGTTTTTGAGGACAAGTCTGTTTCAAAGAGAAACAGGGTGTTACTATGTGATGATAGGGCAGCCTTAGAATTTGTTACAGAATTAATTCAGTCACCTCCAGAAAGGTTTTCCAGAGAGATCCTCTGCTCTGCAGTATGGGCAGTAGACAACAGTGCTTAACTTCCTTTTGTTACCTCTTCCTACCTTTCAGTTCAAGATACTGGTAGCAATCCATGGTAGAAATTTTGATGGTCACAAAATTTGTTGTTGTTGTTGTTATTTGTTTGTTTTGTTTTTACTTGCTTTTTAAAATGGGGTGAATGAAAATTATTTTCTTGGATGAATTTTCATCCAGAGTTGGCATGAGCTGCCAGCTGTTCTTTTCCCCATCTTCTTCAGCTTCTGTGGTCGATCCTCTACGTTAAGTGTTTCTGAAGTAACAGTAACCCATCCGCTTATCTTCGTGTAGCAAATGAGGCCAAGTTTCAGTTAGTGTCAGACCTTCAGGAATTTATTTACTTAGAGGATTTACCTTGATTTTTTCATGGGTGATCAGTGTGGTAGCTCACACCTTGTTTCCTAGTGCCTTTCTCTCCGTCCACCCTGCTCCCCACTGCAGTCTGTTTTCTCTGTAGCCACCAGGATGATCATTTGAAAACCCAAGACAGAGCATGTTATTCCTTTGCTTTAAATCTTCCTGAGCTCTGCATTTCATTAAGCGTAGAAGCTGAAGTACTAGCAGTGGCTTGGAAGACCCAACATGGTCTGCCCCTGTCCTTTATCACCCCTTTGACTTCCCCTGTACCTCTTTCTGTTTTGGCCCCTCTGGCCTCCTTTTGCTTCTGGAGCACACCAAGCATGCTCTTGCCTTGGAGGCCCTTGTGCTGGCTATTCTTTCTGGAAAGTTACCTGGAAAGTTCTTTACTTAGATGTGTCTGCTAGCTCTCTCTCATCTTTTCATTTTATTTATTTAAAAAATTTTTTAAAAGATTTTTTATTTTCTTAAGTAATCTCTACCCCCAACGTGGGGCTAGAACTCAGAATCCCAAGATCAAGAGTTACATACTTTACTGACTGAACCAGCCAGACCCCTCTCTCTTGTCTTTGTAAATCTATGCCCAGGTCTCACTCTGATGCTTACCTGCTACTCATTCCCATGCCACTTGTCTCACTACCTCTCCCTTTTCTCTTCTACTTCTTTTCTTCCCCATAGCACTTATTGCTGTCCAACATTTTTAACACACTACATGGTGCATTTTTTTATCAGTGTTAGTCAGAATTCTCTGAAGAAACAGAACCAGTAGGGTAGTTGTAGGAGTGGCTCACGTGGTTATAGAGCCTGGGAAATCCTATGACCTGTTGTCTGCAAACTGAAGACCCAGGAAAGCCAGTGGTATAATTCAGTCTGAATCCAAAGGCCTGAGAACCCGGGGCTCCTGGCCGAAGGAGGATTTGGAAGTCCCAGCTCGAGAAGAAAGAGAGAATTTGTCCTCCTTCTGCCATTTTGTCTGTGATGGGGGGATAAGGAGGCAATAGATTGGATGATACTCGCCCACATTGGTGAGGGCAGAGCTCTACTCAGTCTACGGATTCAAATGCTAATTTGCTTCAGAAACACCTTCACAGACACACCCAGAAATGTTTTGCCAGTTATCTGGGCATGCTTAGCCCAGTCAAATTGACACATAAAATTAATCCCGACAATATCCAAGCCCCATGAAGTCAAGGATATTTGTCCCTTTTATTTACTAATATACTTTAAGCAGCTAGAAGTTTCCTTGGCATAAAGCAGTCACTCAGCAAATCTTGGTTGCATATTAATGAATAAAAGTGTGAATGAATTAATATCAGGTCGAAAGTCCATTTTGCATTTTAATTTTTGAGGTTATAAAGGTAGTCATGGGGCACCTGGGTGGCTCTGTGGGGTAAGCCTCTGCCTTCAGCTCAGGTCATGATCTCAGGGTCCTGGGATCGATGTCCTCATTGGGCTCTCTGCTCAGTGGGGAGCCTGCTTCTCCCTCTCTCTCTGCCTGCCTCTCTGCCTACTTGTGATCTCTCTCTCTGTCATATAAATAAATAAAATCTTTAAAAAAATAAAGGTAGTCGTGGAGTTTCTTTCCAAATTATAGCAGCCTTTTGGGTAGCAATCCATATGGAATCATCAGGAAGATTGACCTTAAGTGGAAAAGATGTGTGATCTTCCATGGGCCATAGAAATAACTTGATTGCATACTATCATCAGGCAAGATAGTCTCAGTTTGCTTGAACAGGGACATTTATTTCATATTTCTGCTTCCTACTGAAATTGAAGCACTACAGCTGTTCTTATCTCGTTTCTTTTCTCGTGAAAATTCTTCTAGTAGGGTGTATGTGGGGAAAAATCCTTTCTCACTTTGAACCTATGTAGTCTTTCTGCCTCAAGTGTTTCTTCTAAAACAGTTTCACCTCTGCCTGAGGATGTTAGCAAACATACAGAATGTAACTTTTCCTTCCTTAGGTTCACAAAAGAAGGTTTTTCTTGTGGCTCTGTCTTGGAACCTCCTCAGGGTGGTTGACTTTCCTGTTGACTGAGAGCCCTCTGACCTTCTTCAACCTTTCCTTCCTTGAGGAAATCATTTGTAATACTCCCGAGGTATTCTTTTTCTTTCTACTGGAGAGGACCCTGGGAAGTTATAGCAATAGCATTTGATGCCTTTAGGCGTATTTATGTATGTATCACCCAGGAATTGGGCAGTCCTAGGGACGGCTCTTAGGATAATCAGGACCACAAATTGGACTTTTCCTCTCCTCCTTTACTTCTTTCATAAAGGGCTGTGGTCTAGATCTGGTATCTTCTTGAGAATTCTAATTGTTCTTGTGAACCTCATGGCCAGTACCTTTTAACTGGAGATTCATGTGTCACCGAGAAGCTGAGGATGCTTATAAGAGAGGCACACGGGTCTCTTTTGGTGTCATTTGGCGAATTCTTCTCACTTACTTCTCTCACCTGCCTGTCCACCGAGGTTTACAAACCATGACTGGCCTACTTCCTCATGCTCTTGTTTCAGTTTGTAAAGTCCAAGGGAGTGACTTCGGTAAGATTGCTCAACATCCTCCAATGGGATCATTAATTAATCACACAATTATGAAGACTAAGAAACCCAGCACCTGCAGTTGGCAAGCTGGAGACGCAGGAGGACTGATGGTGTAGTTCCAGTTTGATTCTGAAGTGCTGAGAACCAGGAGAGCTGCTGGTGTAGATTGCAGTCGAAGTCTGAGTCAAAAGGCAGGAGAAGACCAATGGCCCTACTTGGAGACAATCAGGCAGAGAGAAAGAATTCCTTCTAATTTGGCCTTCTATTCTATTCGGACCTTCAGTGGATTGGATGAGGCCCATCTGCTCTGGGGAGGGTGATCTGCTTTCTCAGTCTACTGATCCAAATGTCAGTCTCATCCAGAAACATCCTCATAGACACATCCAGAAATAATGTTTAACTGAGTATCTGTGTCCCAGTCAAGTTTATGCATAAAACGAATTACTAATTACTACAGTACTAATATCCCCTCTCTGCCTTACTCTTAGCCTATGGTAACCACCATTCTACTTTTTGTTTGTATGTATTTGACTACTTTCGATACCTCATAGAGTGGAATCTTATAGCATCAGTCTTTTTGTGATCGGCTTATTTCACCTAGCACAAGGACCTCAAGTTTCATCCATGTTATAGCATGGGACAGGAATCCTTCCTTTCCGAGGCTAAATAATATTTACATTTTGTTTATCTGCTGATGCACCTTGGATCACTACTACCTTTCGGCTTTGTGACTAGTCCTCCTATAAACATGGAAATATCTCCTCGAGACCTTGTTTCAGTTCTCTTAGATATTCACCCAGAAGTGAAATTACTGGTCTATTAGCTTTTTGAAAAATTTGATTTTTAAGTAATCTCTATACCCAACATGGGGCACGAACTCAGAACCCCAAGATAAAGAGTCGTGTGCTCTATGATTGAGGTGCCCCTGATCTATTAACTTTAATCACAGATGATTAGTGAAATGAGCCCATTTCCATATTTTATCCGCTATAAATTGAGTTTCCTGGTTAGAAGCAATGCTATGTGGAACATGTAAGTGTGAATAAGATCTCTTACAAATTCACAGATGGTGATTTCAGCAGAAATACTATGGTCAGGGAAGGAAAATCTGCACCCAGAGTCAGTGTCTACCTTAGTAAGAATGAAGCATTGCTCCTTCCCTGATGGAAGTGACTTAAGATAATCCGCTTGCCACCAGGGCCTAGAGATGATGTCCTAGATGAACCCTAGCATGGGTTCACTTTCTCTTCTATTGATAGGTTTTGCATTTAACAGGGGTTTTAATCCTATCAGTCATGGTGAATGGAAGTCTGTGTTGCTGAGCCCATATATTCCCTGCATCCTTGCTTCCATGACCCTTTTGTTGTAAAGAAAACAAAGATGATAAGGACGAAGGTGGCTGAGAAGAGATGCTAGGTAGTAGCCACAAAATGCCTCATTTTGTCCTCCTGATTATTAAGATCTTCTACTGATTGGTCTGAGCACAGTGCCCA